TAATTTTTTTCAAGCTTGCCTGCTTTACAGCTGTATTGAGACATGAAACAAAAAAAATATTATTAAAAATTGACTTAAGTCTTACAATTTCCTATATGTGGTCATTTTCACTTGCTCTCAGGTTAAAAAATAAAATTTTAGTTGCTACTTACAGAAAAGTCTCGGAGACATCTGCCTATAGTTGCTGAAAAGCAGTGATGCCATAAGAGAATTCATGGTAAGAAACAGAGTCACCAAATAATTTATTTTAAAAATTCCCCAGCAAAATTGGACAAGGGGAAAAAAAAAATCTAGCACTACCCAGATACACCCAAGCTATACGATGTCATCCCTCTGCCCTTTCAAAAGGGTGCACCTCATCAATAAATGCAGTCGTATTAAATGAGCAAGAAAGCATTGCAAAGTGCCTGGGGGGAGGAGTACCTAAAATGAGAGGGGAGGAGTAACTCTAACTTTGGCCCACGTGGGCCAAAATTTCCTCTCAAACTAATTAAACTAGATTCCAAAAAGCAAGAGAAAGGGTAACCTTGTGAACACCTCACATTAGTGTTTCTAAGATAATTAAGCGCAAATAGTAACGAGATCAGAATCACGTCTTTGTTCTGCTGAAAAGTAATGGCTAGCGACAGAGGGTTGCAGGGCACATAAGGGGAATAGATGGATGTAACCTGAAACATTTCCCCACTTTGTATAATTGCATAAATGTTGAATGATCTTTGTGCTTTTGTTTCGTTTCATGGGGTGGGGGGTGAGGGAGAAAGTAGAAAATTCTGTCCCTCTGACTGAATAAATTAAATCCAAAAGAAGGCCTAGCTGAAGAAAAGGAGGAAAGCAGGAGAAAGAGAAGAAAAACTTGTGTTTTCTGCTCATTATTGCAAAAGAATGAACAGACCCTACTCAGAAAAGGCATTCAATCCTGCCCATTAGCTGTTTTCTGTGAGTTCTGCTGAGATAAAAGGAAGCAAGCAATAAGGGAGCATTTTCAAGCCAGCAGAGAATACCACAGCCACTATCCTCATTACAAGTACGAGCGTTCTCATGATAAGCTTGGCCTGGAAACACTCAGGCATTATTTAAGAGACTGAGCCTTCAGCTTAGGTAGAATAGCAAACACATCCAGGGGCAATCCTTTTGTGGAAGGCTGCACTGTAAATGGTAACATCAACATAGCTAATGCCCAGTATGCTCCAGAATTGCATTGCAAAATAGGGCCCAGACTATTTCTGCCTGTTATGTACACTTAACATGGACAACAAAAATTGAGTAATTATTTAAAGAATGGACATCTCATACAATTAATTATGTAAAACATTAAACAATGGGATGCCACATTAATCCATATGGCTACCTCATCTCCAGATCAGGGGTAGCACATCTCTTGAATCCTAATTATCTGAGAACATGAAGAGGCAGAGCGACAATAAAGCTTGAGTGCTTCCTTGAGGGACCGGATTGGTAACAAACTACAGGACAAGAGAGGTCTTCAGTATAATTATTTAATGGCCTCCAGCTAGCTTAAAAGTCTTGAAACATTCTTCAACAGAGAAAAAGGTCAGCCATTTTAAAACCAACAAATATTGCTGAAATGTGTCCTGCTATATACTGATTATACCTGTCATTTTTTAAAAAAATGTACATAAAATGTTATTAAAACCTTCCCCCAAACTTTTTAATAAACATTAAAACCTGAGGGTAAAGGTTGGTTCTCCGAGCTTGTGGGTTGGTTTCCAAATGTTTCGTTACCAGGCCAGGTAACATCTCCAGTGACATTTAGGGTGTATGTATCAGTGCTCTTCTGTTTATAGAGGCTTCAGGTGTGGATGTGTCAAGTGAAGGTCTTGTGATGGGTCAGGTGTGAGTCATCACAGGCTTGTGATGGGGAGGTTACATCAGGTCAGGTGAACTGAGGGGGAGGGGGGCTTGCGTGGGTTGGTTGAGGGTCAGTGCTAATTCTGGTTGGCCATGCGGTTAATTTGAATTCTGAGGGGTTTGTAGGCTGGTTGTAGGTCAATGTGTCTGTTGAGGGAATTGCTTGTGGAGCGCCAGGCTTCAATGAACACGAGCATGGCGGTGGTAGTGTGGTCGATGATTTTAGTGTTGCTCCAATCAAATTGGTGGTGTTTGTGGAACCTGGTTTTTAATTGATGTGATGTTTGGCCCACGTTATAGTTGACTTTATAGATTACATTGTTTCTTTCATCCTTCTGTGTCTTCGTCTTTGGTTCTGGATAAATCCTGGTGTTGTGTGGCTATGGGTTTGTGGGCTATTGCTATTCCTAGGGGTTGGAGAATTCTGGCTGTCATTTCCAACATCCCATGTGTGTATGGTAAGGCTAGTTTTTGCATGGCGGTTGGGTGTGTGGTGTGGTTTGGGTTCTGGGTATCAGAATTTGAAGTTTTTTGGATAGCAGAGAAAGATATCAAGTAGCCATTTTTCTTCTGCTTTTCTTATTGTTGTGGTGCTGTGTCCTGGCCCTTCGGAAGAGATCTGGACACAGTGGGGTGGTTGCTTGCGAAGCTGAGGATCTGGTCCGTTTGCATAGGTTTGCAGTAGATGCAGGTTATTTAAAAGCTTATAGATCTGTCGATAATGATGTTATCCATTCAATCCATTCACTGATTCTTGGCAATTCTATGGGCCAGGTCTCTTCACCTCATCCAATCCTATGCTGCTTCCTTGAGTTGTTTTATGTTCTGGCTAGTGTCGGCCTTGATGGTATCCAGCCGATGCTTTTTGGTGGTCTGATTTCCTTTTACCTCTAATTCTTCCAAATATAGCTAGTTGTCACAACGTTGACAACTACTTTCTCCAGTGAATTTCCTCATGACATGGCCAAAATAAGTGAAACACGGTTTCGTGATTTTGCCTTCCACGTACATGTCTGGTGTTATCCGTTCCAAACTCATATGCACCGTGCTGTTTCTTTTAAACAGGAGCACTTTATACCTAAGCTGTGAGAAATTAAGGGGAAAAATACCGTTAACAGTTTCCCTCCAACTATTCACATGAATTTCAATCGCCCACTTTTTGACAACAGAGAACATGGTACCAACTCAATATGGCTGGATGCCCTACAACACTACTTAGCTACCCCTTCCTAACTGTATACAAATGCAAAGTGAGACTGCAGTCCTGGAATATAAAACCAAGGCAAGTGCTACTGATAAAATCTTGAAAGCCAGCAGTCTGGGGACAGACTTAGTACTCCAGTTTCCCTTTCATGTAATCTTGCAGACCTCAAAAGCTCATCATCTTCAGTGGGTCCCCAAACCTCAGAATCACAAATTAAGAGCCTACACTGAAGAAATGTTCAGCTGTATTCACTGGCATAATGCTTACATTTTTCTTTGTCTTGAAAAATGCCATGACATTTAAAACACCTACAGATAATGCAACAAAAGCAATGATGGTTCTTGCAAAATATGTGTATCAAACATGGAATTTGCATACAGAACATTTGCTGTGAAAATGTATGCATTCAGGCACATACGCTGGGAAGCAGGCTTCTATACACCCTCACACCCACCCACCAACTTTTTCTAACACTCGATATGAAGCTTGAGAAAATGGCTTTTTGATTTTTCTGAAAAAAAGGAACCATGCCTTCTTTTCCTATCATTTTGTAAAGTAGGGAAGACATGGAACATTCTTAAAACATTCCTTTTAAAAATACAAGAGAATACTTTTCTCTCTAGAACAGTGGTTCTCAACCTTTTTAATGCCGCAACCCCAACCGGTCGTAAGTTGAGGACTAAACCGGTCGTAAGTTGAGGACTAAACCGGTCGTAAGTCGAGGACTACCCAACCGGTCGTAAGTCGAGGACTTTCCCTGCCCGGGAGCGCCGCGCATGCGTGGTTCCACCCCCTGCGCCGGCTGAGGCGTAGCTGGCAAGCGGCAGAGACGGAGCAGGCCGACCACCAGCTGGCCCAGCCCAAGGGAGGTAAGGCACCCGCCGGAAAAGGGGAAAAAAATGGCAGACAGCCTTGCTTGGCGACCCCCGTGAAATGGTCGATCGACCCCAAATGGGGTCGCGACCCATAGGTTGAGAACCGCTGCTCTAGAAAACCCTAGTTAACTTCATTCCTTAGTTAAATCTTTCCTCTTTGGAAGGGTAGAAAAGAAAGCTGTCGTGGCAGAAGGGCGTTCCACACCCTTTTTTCAATTGTTCAGCATGGCTGTAAAAGTTCAGCTGGAAAAAAGACATCAACAAAAGAATCTGAATCGAATAAAATGTGTCTTGGTATATATCGCACCTGGTGATAGCAAACACCATCCTTGCAGTCCTGAACTCAGTAGTTCTGCTTTGGTTTTGACAAAACTATGTTCTCTGACCAGATCATTTAATTCTGACGGTGGTATGAGATGACGCACGTCAGACATTCCCAGTTCAAAATCTGGATCATTATTACTGTCTGCAGCATCTCCGTCTGTTTCATCTAAACTTCATTTCTCCGGGGGGGGGGGGGGGGCTCGGTACTGGCCGATTATTATCATATTGTGCTGGCCTCAGACTGGGGTAGTTGTCTCTCTCTCTGAGTCAAATGGCTGCCTAAATACTTCCTCTGGATATGTATGTGTACTCCCCTTGTATTACACCATGTTTTGCCTGTATATGTGCATGGGGAAGAACAGGACTGGTAGCATGAATTTTGACCTTGATCATTTGACTGAGAGGGAGACCTAAACTGGAGGAAACTTGGTTTTGGAATGTTTTTCTCCACAGACCTTGCCCAGATTTGGCCCATTCCCAGTTTTTTCTGATGCTAGCTTTGACTGCCACTCCTAAAGTGATCCTGTCCTGTTTTGGAGTTATTCAACTGACAGACCAAGCTTTGGAAGACCCTTTACAACAGGGGTGTGAAACTGGCAGCCCGCGGGCTGGATGGGTCACATGCAGGCCATGCCCACCCCAGCTCCGCAAAGGCAAAAAACATCCCAAAACGTCACGTGACACGATCAAGTTTGACACCTGTGCTTTACAACATTTATTTCCTATGTCCCATTAGGATGGAAAGAATTACAAGGTAGGAAAAAGCATGGAGAGCTTCTATGGACAAGTAGTCCTCAACTTATGACCACAATTGAGCCCAAAATTTATGCTGCTAAGTGAGACATTTGTTAAGTGAGTTTTGCCCCATTTTACTACTTTTATTGCCACATTTGTTAAGTGAATCACGGCAGTTAAATTAATTACACAGTTAAGTGAATCTAGTTTCCCCACTGACTTGGTCAGGAGGTCACAAAAGGTGATCACATGACCCCGGGATGATGCAACCGTCATAAATGTGAACCAGTTGCCAAGTGTCTGAATTTTGATCCATGTTACCATGCGGATGCTACCATGGTCCTGTAAAAAATGGTCATAAGTCACTTTTTTCAGTGTCATTACTTCGAAAGGTCAAAGTGAATGGTTGTAAATCGAGGATTACCTGTAATCAAATAACGTGTGTACAAACAGATGCTCTGGGAAACGTGTTCCACTCTGGGTCACATCACCAAGATGGGAAAGGCTTAGAACGGAAGAGTTGACAACATTCCAAGCTGCTGCTTCCAATGACTTCTTCCCTCAGGATGCATTTGGTTTTCTCCATAGCCCCTAGCTGGACTGGATCTATTGTTAAAGCCAATTTTTCTTTTGCCTGCTACTTCCAACGACACCAAATTTGGCTTGGCTCTGGTTTTAGAGTTATCCTGCTCACACACAGATAATTGCAGCCTTCCTTATTGAATTTAATGCCACATTTTCACTGGGTTAGGTAGAATGAAGGACCCTAAGCATAAATGTCTTCCTTTATTTTAATGACTGGTAATGTACAATCATATGACACTATTGCTGTGTTACCATCACGTGCTAACCCATGAACCGGATTATTCAATTGTCTGAATTCTCATAAGACCTCAAAGTAGCCAACCACAATTTAGTGTAGTGAATCTTCAAAACCCAGTCCATGTCAAAAGTGCTACTCACATCCAGGTGTCTGTCCCATTCCCAGCAGGTGTACATGGAATTCTGCTTCCAGGAGAAGTTTCAGAGATGGCTGCTTTTGTTACCATCAAATGCTGACATTTTTCTAAAGGAAAAATACAATTACTGCATTTAAGTTGTAGCTAGCTCGTGAAGTCAATTTAATCATTTGCAAAACAATTGCTACGGAAGACCACTCCATGGATAGCCTCAGCTGATGCTGATTTTCCTTCACTGTTGAATTTTCAGACAGGGATAACATCACATCACAGGCTTGAGTGAATGAGTGCCAACAGAACTGAAAAAGCAGTTAAGATCCAAATGGAGAAATAAGAAGTCTTATGAGCCGTGGTGGCGCAGTGGTTAGAATGTAGTACCGCAGGCCAATTCTGCTGCCTACCGGCTGCCAGCAGTTTAGCAGTTTGAGTCTCACCAGCTCAAGATTGACTCAGCCTTCCAAGGTCAGTAAAATGAGGACCCAGATTGTTGGGGGCAATATGTTGACTCCGTTTAGAGAGGGCTGTAAAGCACTGTGAAGTGGTATATAAGTCTAAGTGCTATTGCTATCTCAAAAAACTAAGGCAGGGTGGACTTAGTACAAATAAGTGAGGACATTTACCAACAGTACCTGAGATCAAGAACTTCACTAAGTCATATGGTCGTAAAGCAGGATGTCACATGGCCACAGACTTACAATAACCATTCCAGCAGTCCAGTTGCTGCTATTAGGTGAATTCTCAGTTAGCAGTGTCCGACTTTCATAACTGCAGCCCTCAAGAGCAGACATGTCAAACACAAGCCCCCCGGGCTGGATGCGGCCCAGGGAGGGCCCAGATTTGGCCCCCCGGGGCTGTCCCAGAAATGGCAAGGGACCGGCCTCCCGCTGCCCCAGCCCTGGAGCACTTGGGCTGGTGATGTGCAGCAAGAGCTGCAGCTCATTTGCCTCAGCCCACCCTGCCCCTCCCAGCTTAACCCCGTCACGCCCGGCCATGCCCCACTTTGCTGGGCTTCTCGTGTGGCTCTGCTTTGCCAGGCCAGAAAGGGTGAGAAGGAAGAGAAAGCAGGAAGGGTTTCTCTCTCTCTCTCTGTCTGTCGGTGTGTGTGTGTGTGTGTATGTGAGGGAGAGAGACAGAGAGCCAGGAGGGGAAGAGGAGGAGGAAGCTGAGGTTTTACAAAAAAGGAGCTTCCACCTTTCTCCCCCTCCTCTTTTTTAACGTGTGTGTGTGTGTGTGTGTGTGTGTGAGAGAGAGAGAGAGAGAGAGAGAGACAGACAGAAGGGAAGCGAAAGTGTGGAGAACGGGGAGAGTAAGCAAACTTACAAAAAGGAGATCTCTCTCTGATACACACACACACACACGGGAAGGTGGTGTGCAAGCAGGCGAGAAAGCAAACTTGCAGATTAGCTTTGTGGTCTATTCTTGCGTCCTCCCCTCCCTAAAATCCAGGCAATAATAGATTGGATTGAATGGGAAGTTTGGATTGAATGGGAAGTTAAGAGGAATTGGTGTGAGTTGAAATTAAAAGGCAGAGTCAACTCCCCCCTCCAATTATTTTGTTGGAGACAAAAATACTTCCCTTCATCTGCTCTTTTATAATTTAATCCAGCCTTACCCAAACTAATATATTTTGGGTGTCATGGACTACAGTTCCCATCATCCTGTGGCTATGCTGGCTAGAAATCCAATTCCTTATTTTCTCTGCAGTATGCACCTAGGAGGCAGTAGTTCTGTGGGATTTAGATTTATTTATTTATTTATTTATATTTAAATTTATATGCCGCCCTTCTCCCCATGGGACTCAGGGCGGCTCACAGCATATTAAAACATTGTACAAAAAATTTTTTTCCCCTGCTAAAAACCAATTAAAATCCAAATATTGGTAGCTGTGGCTCTTTAAAATTGTTTAAAAATTGTCCCTATTTAAAACTCACCTTAGGTCAGGCCCGNTAATTTTTTTCAAGCTTGCCTGCTTTACAGCTGTATTGAGACATGAAACAAAAAAAATATTATTAAAAATTGACTTAAGTCTTACAATTTCCTATATGTGGTCATTTTCACTTGCTCTCAGGTTAAAAAATAAAATTTTAGTTGCTACTTACAGAAAAGTCTCGGAGACATCTGCCTATAGTTGCTGAAAAGCAGTGATACCATAACAGAATTCATGGTAAGAAACAGAGTCACCAAATGATTTATTTTAAAAATTCCCCAGCAAAATTGGAGAAGGGGGAAAAAAAAATCTAGCACTACCCAGATACACCCAAGCTATACGATGTCATCCCTCTGCCCTTTCCAAAGGGTGCACCTGATCAATAAATGCAGTCGTATTAAATGAGCAAGAAAGCATTGCAAAGTGCCTGGAGGGAGGGAGAAGTACCTAAAGTGAGAGGGGAGGAGTAACTCTAACTTTGGCCCGCCTGGGCCAAAATTTCCTCTCAAACTAATTAAACTAGATTCCAAAAAGCAAGAGAAAGGGTAACCTTGCGAACACCTCACATTAATGTTTCTAAGATAATTAAGCGCAAATAGCAACGAGATCAGAATCACGTCTTTGTTCTGCTGAAAAGTAATGGCTAGTGACAGAGGGTTGCAGGGCACATAAGGGGAATAGATGGATGTAACCTGAAACATTTCCCCACTTTGTATAATTGCATAAATGTTGAATGATCTTTGTGCTTTTGTTTCTTTTCATGGGGTGGGTGGTGAGGGAGAAAGTAGAAAATTGTGTCCCTCTGACTGAATAAATTAAATCCAAAAGAAGGCCTAGCTGAAGAAAAGGAGGAAAGCAGGAGAAAGAGAAGAAAAACTTGTGTTTTCTGCTCATTATTGCAAAAGAATGAACAGACCCTACTCAGAAAAGGCATTCAATCCTGCCCATTAGCTGTTTTCTGTGAGTTCTGCTGAGATAAAAGGAAGCAAGCAATAAAGGGAGCATTTTCAAGCCAGCAGAGAATACCACAGCCACTATCCTCATTACAAGTACGAGCGTTCTCATGATAAGCTTGGCCTGGAAACACTCAGGCATTATTTAAGAGACTGAGCCTTCAGCTTAGGTCAGTGGTGGCGAACCTATGGCACAGGTGCCAGAGGCGGCACTCAGAGCCCTCTCTGTGGGCACGCACGCCGTCGCCCCAGTCCTAGGCCTTCAGCTGGGTTTTACAAAACCTTTTCGCTTTAGGCCTCCGCCGCCATGTGCAAAAAAAAAAAGGTTCAATCAATCAGGCAATTTCAACCTTGGGGGGGGGGGGGGGAAAGATCTTGCAAAGTTGGAATTGATTGATTGAACTTTAGTCCCACCCAGTCTGCTGTTACCACCGCAGCCACACCCACCCAATAGGCCACACCCACCCGGCACCTGGCGATGCATACGTGGGTTTTGGGTTGCAGTTTGGGCACTCGGTCTCTGAAAGGTTCGCCATCACTGGCTTAGGTAGAATAGCAAACACATCCAGGGGCAATCCTTTTGTGGAAGGCTGCAGTGTAAATGGTAACATCAACATAGCTAATGCCCAGTATGCTCCAGAATTGCATTGCAAAATAGGGCCCAGACTATTTCTGCCTGTTATGTACACTTAACATGGACGACAAAAATTGAGTAATTATTGAAAGAATGGACATCTCATACAATTATGTAAAACACTAAACAATGGGATGCCACATTAATCCATATGGCTACCTCATCTCCAGATCAGGGGTAGCACATCTCTTGAATCCTAATTATCTGAGAACATGAAGAGGCAGAGCGACAATAAAGCTTGAGTGCTTCCTTGAGGGAACGGATTGGTAACAAACTACAGGACAAGAGAGGTCTTCAGTATAATTATTTAATGGCCTCCAGCTAGCTTAAAAGTCTTGAAACATTCTTCAACAGAGAAAAAGTCAGCCATTTTAAAACCAACAAATATTGCTGAAATGTGTCCTGCTATATACTGATTATACCTGTCATTTTTTAAAAAAATGTACATAAAATGTTATTAAAACCTTCCCCAAAACTTTTTAATAAACATATTAAAACCTGAGGGTAAAGGTTGGTTCTCCGAGCTTGTGGGTTGGTTTCCAAATGTTTTGCTACCAGGCCAGGTAACATCTCCAGTGACATTTAGGGCGTATGTGTCAGCGCTCTTCTGTTTATAGAGGCTTCAGGTGTGGATGTGTCAAGTGAAGGTCTTGTGATGGGTCAGATGTGAGTCATCACAGGCTTGTGATGGGGAGGTTACATCAGGTCAGGTGAACTGAGGGGGAGGGGGGCTTGCGTGGGTTGGTTGAGGGTCAGTGCTAATTCTGGTTGGCCGTGCGGTTAATTTGAATTCTGAGGGGTTTGTAGGCTGGTTGTAGGTCAATGTGTCTGTTGAGGGAATTGCTTGTGGAGCGCCAGGCTTCAATGAACACATGAGCATGGCGGTGGTAGTGTGGTCGATGATTTTAGTGTTGCTCCAATCAAATTGGTGGTGTTTGTGGAACCTGGTTTTTAATTGATGTGATGTTTGGCCCACGTTATAGTTGACTTTATAGATTACATTGTTTCTTTCATCCTTCTGTGTCTTGTCTTTGGTTCTGGATAAATCCCGGTGTTGTGTGGCTGTGGGTTTGTGGGCTATTGCTATTCCTGTCATTTCCAACATCCCATGTGTGTATGGTAAGGCTAGTTTTTGCGTGGCGGTTGGGTGTGTGGTGTGGTTGGGATTCTGGGTATCAGAATTTGAAGTTTTTTGGATAGCAGAGAAAGATATCAAGTAGCCATTTTTCTTCTGCTTTTCTTATTGTTGTGATGCTGTGTCCTGGCCCTTCGGAAGAGATCTGGACATAGTGGGGTGGTTGCTTGCGAAGCTGAGGATCTGGTCCGTTTGCATAGATTTGCAGTAGACGCAGGTTATTTAAAAGCTTATAGATCTGTCGATAATGATGTTATCCATTCAATCCATTCACTGATTCTTGGCAATTCTATGGGCCAGGTCTCTTCACCTCATCCAATCCTATGCTGCTTCCTTGAGTTGTTTTATGTTCTGGCTAGTGTCGGCCTTGATGGTATCCAGCCGATGCTTTTTGGTGGTCTGATTTCCTTTTACCTCTAATTCTTCCAAATATAGCTAGTTGTTACAACGTTGACAAC